CAATACTGATATTCCATTTTATTCCAGAAAAATGACAATTATCAAGAAATCGATCAATAACAAATCGCAGAGTATCTATTGGGAAAAATATCCTTCTCTACAATTGGTCAGAGTGAGCACTGTTGCAAACACTATGGACCGTGATGTAGAGATTCCTGAAAAAAAAAAAAAAAAAAAAAAAAAAAAAACTAGATGGTCCATTTGACTCAGCTCTTCACCTTCTTGGTATCTTCTCAAAAGAATTAAAACTGCATACCACATGATAAATGCACATTCATGTTTATAACACCACAGTTTGTAATATCTAAACCTTGGAAAAAGGCCAAATGCCCATCAACTGATCAATGAATAAAGATATAAATTTTTAGATGCAATAGAGTACTACTCAGCCATGAATAAGAAAACTTTGAGACATGTCTAGATAAACGGATGCACTTTGTTACTATATTAAGTGAAATAATCAGATACATGTGTGTAAATATTATATCTTTCCTTATTGTGAGAAGCTGAAAATGTTCATAAGTACTAAAATATATAACAGATGTCATATTAGAAGAAAGCTTTCAAATGGAAAGGGAAGCTAGGGAGGAGAGAGGGGTAAAAGAAGTAAGGGGAAATTGAAAAATGGTAAAGGAATGAAAAATGGAAGAAAAGCTTTGTAATTGAGGAGAAGAGGTGTTGAAGAAAGATGAGTAAATTGGGTAAAATGAAGAAGACTCAAGACAGACTATGTAGAGATAACATTTTCCTCTAATGAATGTGATCACTATGTATATCTAAAATGTACCAGTGAAGTTGATTAACTGAAAATTTACACAAAACTCAAACTTATTTTACTAGGTTTTTTTCTTGTTGCCAATGTAATTAGGGAGTAATGTAAGATACCAACTTGAAAGGTAGAGAAACTCGTTCTCCTACAAAAATATTAAATAAACAGAACAGCTAAAATATAGTGCAAATATACAGAAAACTATGACCAGAGATTACTTATTTGAGTATTGAATACAATGTCTGAAATTCTAAAACTAGTGGAACTGAAAATATTTGGGAAATTTAAATATATTCAAAGTAGCCCTCTCTTGGAAATACACACACACACACACACACACACACACACACACATGCTTAGGAAATATACATGTTATTAAGTCTTATGCTGTCTAACCCCAGGAAGATAACATGACTTTATGACTTGCTAGCTAATGGTGGTCTTTTTATACACAAAATTAATCTTTAAGACTAGGAAATAAATCATATATATATATATATATATATATATATATGGAGAAAAATTATACAAAATATCATTATATATATATATACATATATATACATATATATATATATATATATATATATATATATATTCAGAAATTTCCCCTGTAAGAAGCCAATATTTGGCTGATAATAGAGCTCAGTGGTACAAGTGACTGCCTGACAAGCACAAGGTCCTGAGTTTAAATCTTGTTTAAACAAACAAACACATTTTTTAAAAAAACCAACCCTCATTTCCAAATATTGGAATTTCAAAATGAAGACTTAAAACAACTTCTTACTGGTTTTTTTTTGTAGTTCTGTATTACTTGTACCTTTACACCGCTTTGTTTTGTTTTGTTTTTTTCTCTTTTTCCTTTTAAATAAAATTTTAAAAAATAAAAAAATAAATTAAAAAAAAACCCAACTTCTTTATATGACTAGAAATCTCAGAGGTAACAATGCACTTAATAGTGAAATAGTTTTGTTGTATGGATGGGGAAAAAGGGTTTTCATTTCAACCACTTCTGTTAAAATAGTACTAAAATGGTATGTACGATAAGTAGGTAGTAAAGGAAAATGAAAATTTTTCCTCTAAGTTATTTTCTCTAAATTCGTGATACATTTTCCACTTCCACTATATCAATTCAAGGTACCACAATAGTTTCTAACCAGAGCAATTAAACAAAATAAATGAAAAATTAAAAAAAAACTAATAAGAATAATGCAATAAATCAAAGAAGTCATTAATAGACAGCTCTTGCTTATGAATTTAAGAGCTTAATATTTTTAAGATAACAATACTACATGTCCTACAGATTTAAAGTCATTATATACAATGACATTTTTCTGTAAGTATAAAAATCCATCAAATTGCCATAGGTAGTATCAAGGGACTCACAATATTCAAAGAAATATTGAGAAAAAGATATATTCAGACATTTCATACTTCATTATTTCAAAACTCATTGTGATGTTACATGAATAAAACCATTTTAAAACTCTTATAATGAATACATAAAAGACAAATATAACAAAAGAGAACCCAGAACCAAGATTCCTCATTTTGACCATCATTTCAAGACCATTTAGTGGAGAAAATTTTAAAATATCAAAATCATATGATCCAGCAATTCCATTTATGAGTACAGTGTGTACTAAAAAATTTTGTAAGCAATGTTTTGAACAGATATTTGTATGCCTAAATTCATTTCCACATTAGTCACAGCAGCAAAAATGTAGAAATAACTCAATTGTCCATCGATTAATGAACAGATAAAATATAGCACACGCATACAATATAGCATTATTAATTTTAACAAAAGGAATCAATTTTTAATTACCATGGATCTGTTATTTTCTCTAAGAAACTACTATATTTAGTTCTTCTTTATTATTCAATTATATGCTGTCCTGAACAAATGTAATCTTCCTTCATTGTTTTCCTCATGTATTGTATCCTTTATATCACTATTTGATTCATTTCTCCAAACTGCTTTCTGACATGATTTCTATTTGAAATGATATTCAAATTCTTCCAAATTGGATAATTTCCCTGTCTATGAGACAAAATCTCAAAATATCCACCTAGATATCTTAGGTCACAAGACAATCTGATCACTAGTTGCGATGCAAAGCATGCTTTCAAATTATATTTCAACACAGTGTCTGCTTTAACTGATAAAACTTTCTTAATTATCTTCATTTCTAATCATTTTTTTTCCTAAAGCAGAAATTTCCACCTTCTATTGTATGCTTTAAAATACAAACTCTATATATTCAATAACATCTTTAAGGACATCATCCCATAACAGTTTTTGTGTTCTGAAATCAGATATCTTTACTAACTTTAGGTTTGTCATTTACTCTGAAGTTATTATTTTGAATTGTATTTTGTGCATATATACACTTTATTTTTAAAGGGAATATGAATGATGTAATTAAAAGGAATATGACACTTGTTTTAATCAAAATATCACATTATTCTTCAAAAATAATACCTCCCACTCAAAGGATTTAGTTTTGGGAAATAAAATATTTCTGTAAATATAGTTATTGTTCAGAAATCATTATTATCTTACATTGGTGATTCTGTTTGTAATTTTTGGGTTAGTAAAGTATTCTGAGGAGTGCTATTAGAAACAGTTAATTTTATCTGAGTCTGGTAAACTGACAGATTGATGTATCTTAGCATTAAATATCCTTGTTTTTTATTATCTTTGCCTCATTTTATAGTGATACTAAAATGCATTTAAATACATTTTTTATTTAAAGAGAAAAAAAGAAAGGACATAAAAAACAAAGCAGTAAAAGGGTACAAGTAATACAGAATTTCAAGAAAAAAATATACAGTAAGAAATCACAAGCTAATAGTTTACATATTATCTTCCCAGAAACAGTTGTCCAAATTACAAAATTAAAGCATATAAAGTGGATTTATACAGTGAAATTGGAGACAGTTACGTTCAATGATCCAACAAAAGCTCAGTAATATGGTTTTCCATCCTACACACTTGAACATACCTGTGGTTATATCCCTTGGTCCACCCTCCTTTCTTTGGAATTAAAATGCATAAGGATTGTTTTTATTAGTACATTTATAGTACATAATGTTGGCATTCAGTATGTAAAGTTAGTGTTGTAGTCAGGGGTTGTACACAGAGAACAACTAGGATTAGGACATGGAGTTTATAATATTTTTATAATGGTCACTAGGAATTAACACAGGAAAATGCAGGAAATCTATCCACAACACCAAAGACATAGATTATTTAGTCAAGAGCCTAAACCCCATGGCAATGTCCCTCATGAGTCCAGATAAAAACCCAGAGCTCAGGACAATGCCTCCCATGAGTCCAACTGGAGACCCAGAACCCACAGGAAGGACTCACACCAGTCTCTTTTACGGATGTGTGGAGAAGACCCAAGGGTCAGCGGTGGAAACAAGAAAGTCTATGCCAGCAGGATGAAGGAGCTGTGCTAATGGGATGAGGGTTCTACGCTGGAGCCAAAAAAGTCACACTCACAACAAAGACCAGGGCTATCCTGAAAGGCACTATAGCTGTCCTCAGCGACATGGAGGCCCGAGCTTCTCTGAGGACAAGCACTCTCGGGTATGTGCCAGGAAGCAGTGTGACGAGTTCATCCTGGAGACCAAGCAGCACATGTCTTCCCCTTTGGAGCCAGGAAGCAATGCTTGATGTGAGGACCAAAGCTTCTCCAGGAGAACCAACAGCTCAGACAGCAACTCGGAGGAGAACCCACAATGCCTTCTTAATGCCTCAACCTCAACACTTCCCTTCTTCTCCACCTATATATCCTGGCAACTTTCCTCAGGTGGAGCATCTTCACTCAATGCCATGCTGATATAATCCAGCAGGCGTTAAATTGATCACCAGTTCTTAAACCATAACAGTTGGTAAAGGTACATAAAACATCTTAATTCATGTTTTTCAATCTCTTTCCCTCCATCTTCTTTCATTTCTTGATACCTTTCCCAACTAGAAAAATCTGTCTCCCTACTTTCCATTGCGTATTATTGTGCTCTTTGTTTAAAATTTGGGGTTCTCATATAAGAGAAACTATGTGCTATTTAAGTTTGTATGTCTTTTTATAAAGGATTAATCAACAAAAAGATGAATGTTTATTTACAATTCTATTTTCAATTAGTTTAAAAATCTTTCTGTTTTCTGAAAAAAAATGAGTAAGCAAGTAATTTCATACATAAATAAATAGAAGTAACTTACCGTTCCACACAGTCAGAAAACCTAGAGCAGTGATTAGAAGCAGGGACATCATGACCCCCTACAACATATAAGAATCCATTATATGTTGCAACTCCCACACCTGCACGTCTTTTGGACATTGGAGCACATAGATTCCACTTGTTAGTGTGTGGGTCAAAATATTCCATTGATTTGAGGCAGGAGCTTCCATCACGTCCACCAATAGCATATAACCTAAAAAATATTATCACATATCTCTATATATGTAGGCACAGAACACATGGAAATCAGCACGGAGGAACCTACTATAAAGCATTTCAAATTTCTGAGGATTCTCAATGTATATTGTATTGCCTCATTATTTTGACTTTGTAAGTGGGTACTCATCTGATGGCACCTGTTAAAGTCTAGAATTCACCAAACTACGTGTTTCAATTTTTGAAAATATTTTGACATACTAAATAAAAATATTCAATGGGAAAATATATGTAGAAAAATGAATGACGTACCAAAAGACTTGAGAGGATTGTTTCAAAAACCAACTCCAACAAACTTCCAATTCTACCCAGGTTCAATTATTATGAAGTAAGTTATTTAGCATGAGCTATTTACCACTAAAATGTTATTAACTTAATACCCAACTAAGGGAATAGGGTTTTCCTTAAAGAGATATTAGTTATCACATTTTCCCTTTAACTTTAAATGCCAATTATTTTCGTGCACAGTAACTTTCTTTTAAATTTTATTAGTTCATGTGTGTAGTATATAATGATTACTATCCTTGTGGGAAGTTGGTACATTGATATAACATACTACAATTTTAATCTCACTTAAAATTAACTCAACAATAATAAAGATGCTAACTATTCACTAAATCATATGCCTATAACTGGTCTTCATTTTGAGCTGTGAAAACAGCAAATTAGCAAAACAGAACTTAATGAGTCAAAATATATAATTTCATCCTATTCCTTTTCATTTGGCCAACTGATGCCCAGGTACCTAAAATTTTTCAGTTTACACCCAATGCAGTAAAGTTTAAGAATTCTTTTAACTTTAAGCACTAAAAATATGTGTCTTTGCTGGGGGGAGGTGAAGACAGGTACTGGGGATAAAACTCGGGACCTCATGCTTGCCAGACAGGCACTGTACCCCTGAGTTATATTCACAGCCCTTATGCCTCCTCTTAATTACAAACATTTTTTCCCTTGTGTAAGGTTCTAAAATCTATCCATGTACAAAATTCTTCAGAATTCTTACATGATAAAGTATTGTTATTGTGCGTGGACAATGTAGACATAAGGCTTAATCCTCATAGTGATGCATTCTTTTATCTGAAATTTTATCGTGCAGTATCTTTCTGTATGCTTCTCATTGCATCCAATTATTCAATGTAATAAAACATATAACTACACAGTGATAATTCCACCTCTAACATCATAAGGTTTAATATATTAGCACGATCACACAGGGAAATGACAAAAAGTTGTAAATACTGAGAAAACGCAATGTCTGTTCTTACAGTCAGAAACTCTGGACATGCAAAAAATGATTGCTGAACAAGTAAACTAATATTTTCACAAATACTGGGAGACAAATGTTAGAAAAAGTAAGATTATATCATAACACATGAAAGTGAAATCTAATTGACATTAACTTAGGATAACTTGTGGTTAACTTGAGATTAACTTGAAGAATTTATTGCCTACAAGAACTTTCCCAATTTTGAAAACACATGTCCTGATGATTTTTTTTTCAAATGAGGTTTCTTATTAAGGAGGTGTATGGTATGTCTATTATTTATCATAATTTATCCATAAGAAATTCTGATGTTGTATGACAATTTGCATAACAAGGATCTACAGAATATATATTTATGTGTTTATTTTCCATCATGATGGAGAGGGTGTTCTAACAAAGAGCTGCTATAGCATAACAAGGATGTAATTTTGTTTGAAATAATTATTTAATATGTTATGGAACTTCTGTGTCATGTGACTGAGTGCAAATAATATGCATTTGGACTTACTTGTTGTTTAAAGCAACAACACCAAGTGTACTTCTAGGAATTGACATACTAGCCACATAATTCCACTGGTGTCCCTCAGGATCCCATCTTTCCACAGTATTTAGGTAGCTCCAACCATCATGACCACCTATGGCATACATTGGTCCTTCTAGTGTGACTACACCTAAAGGAAAAAAAAATAGTATGAAGACTCAGTGACATGTGCCATACACAATACACGTCACATCATTTTGAAAAATCACTGACTATTCAAAAATTAGTATTTTATTAAATAATTTGTATGTACATGGATAAATAACTATATCTGATATGAAATTAACTATGACCACCTATCCCTAAGTAATATTTAATCATGTTTGGTTGTATCATAGACTGGCATCAATGTTATAGTAATGAAGTCAGAATAAGTAGTGAAATTCAACACAATTTCTGGGTTTAGAATAAAAGTTGGAAGTTGCTTTTTTTCTGGCATAACTTCATTATGTTCTTTTAAATCAGAGTAGATTAGATATAATGGTCAGTTCTAGCTAAATCTTGTGATGGAAACTGAATATGGAATACCTTTTCAACTATTGATTTTCAATATAGGGATAACAAAAGATGTGCTTGGGATAAATAAATGCACATGACATTTTAAAAATTAAAATAAGTTTGCAGCACATGATGAATACATTTATAGTGAGTCGCTGGTACATATACATGACACATTTAATTTTTATATCTGCTTTTTATTTTCCCCTCCCTGGGTTTCTTAGTTTCCTTCTCACTTGCCAAAAGTATCTATATCTTTATTTCAAGGGTAGACATGAATCCTTGAAGGTTTAATTAAATATTTGTTCTGTTCGGTAGTATAAACAGTTGCTTTCTGCTTCTTGTATGTTCTAGGAACTCATATTCAACATTTGCTTTACTATCTCAATAAGCCTGTCAGTGGTTTATTCTCATCACTTACACCTCTACTTGCATATATTAAATTGCCAAGAGCTTGTTCTGGTTTCTTTACCATACATGTTTTCTTAGAAATATGTAAGAATTAAAGTGGCACAATTGAATTGAATAGTGACATGGTGAATTTTCTGGCAGAAACTATGTACTGTATCATGATATTTTGTGGCAAGAAAAACATCAGTCCTGGAACTGCCACTTTTTAACTACTTAAAATTCCATTTTTAAAAGTTATCTAGACAATCTAGATTTTAATAGACTATGGTATTGAAAACATACAGATTTTTTATGAAGAAATAGTCAGGTAAACTTTCTCTTAAACACATATATTCAACAAAATCAAAATTTTCTCACTTTTGAAGGCATGTGGCTTTAATCCTTTGTTGAAAGACATTTAACACATCTGTCTAGATACACAATCTATTTCATTAATCCTCTAAATTTAGTTGAGGAAAAAGTTTCCTCCTCCATCTTTAGATTCCTCAATAATTTAGCCATTTTGGGCCATGCCCAGTGGCCTCTAAACAGGTAACAGGGGCCTCCTTTCAGTCCAGGGAGCCAAATGTGTGTGAGTTGATTCCCAGTGCATAGGAGAAGCTTTGTAAGGTTGCTCTCAGCTAGTAAGTCCACACCTAGCATCCCAAATCACTGCAGGATGAATGAGAGATTCCCACAGGCCTAACTGACCACTCCCAGTGACCTCCAAATTGCTAGCCAGAGCCTCCATTCATTTCCAGGAGTAAAACATGCATGAGTCGATTGCCAGCACATGCGGGAAGTTTTGGAAGATTGCCTTAAACCAGTAAGACCAAGGCTAGCATGCTAAATCACTGGAGGATGCACAGGAGGTCCCAGGGGCCTAACTGGACCACACTCATTGACCTCAAAGAGGCTAGCAGTTTGCCTTGGGAGCCAAAAGTGGGCCAGGTGATGCCCAGTGCACTGGGGAAGCTTTGGATTGCTGCTCGAAACACAGAAATATAGGAAAATGACAAAATAAAACAGCAAAATGCAATCTCAAACTTGCATCCCAACCCAAGCAAGACTAGCAGACATGAACATAGAATAAAATGTAAGCCATACATCTGAAATTCCTGAAATGACAACAACTGAAGTAAAGAAACAACCATGGGATGCTATGAAAGAACAGAGATCAGAAATAATATCCCAGGTAAAAGAAAAAATGATAAATGTAATGAAAGAAATGTTTACCACATTTAAAGAAGACATAGTTAAATTAGAGAAATGAGAGAAACCCTGAATGAACAATAAAAGAAACAAGCACAATGTATGAAGCAAATTCAAAGAGATATACAAGAAATCAAAAATTTCATCGAAAGTTGACAAAAACACTTCAACAAAAGTGAAGATGGAATTGTAGACATTGAAGACAAGATTACAACTAGTGAACAGAATAGGAAAGATCTATTAAAACAACAAGGTTCAGAAAATAACAACAGCTCAAAGATGATGCAAGGAAACACAACATAAGATTGATAGGGATAAATGAAAAAGAAGGTGACAACACAAATGATATCAAGAGGCTATTTAGAGAAGTAATAGCTGAAAATTTCCCAAAGATGAGAATGGAAACTGACATAGAGATCAGTGAGGTATATAGAATGCCAAATAACCATAACCAAAATAAAACTACACCCAGACATATAATAATCACCATCCCAGAAATACAATGTAAGAACAAAATACTAGAAGCTGTTAGAGAGAAGCAACAGAACATTCATAAAGGAAAGCCTATTAGAATTACAGCAGACTTATCAAGACAAACACTGAAGTAAAGAGGAGCATGGAGTGAAGTATTTCAGATCAGAAAGGAAAACTTCCAAACCAGACTTGTACCCTGCAAAACTGTCCTTCAAAATGGGTGAAGAAATAAAATATCTCCAGGATAAAGAGCAGCTGAAGAACTTCATGAGCACCCAACTAATCCTGAAAAGAATATTGAAACACATTCTAGATAGACATAGGAAAAATCCATGTAGCAAGGCAAGCAATTAAACAGATTGGAAAGGTAAATATTCAACATGAGAAAGACAACATGTCAAAAGTAAACCAATACATATCACTTATAATCGTTAATATAACTGGTCAAAATTCATCAATTAAAAGAAGCAGACTGGCAGAATGGATCAAGAAGCACATCCAGGGGCTGGGGATTTAACTCAGCAGCTTAAGCGCCTTCCTTGAAAGCAGGCTGTCGTGACTTCGATCCCTGGTACCAATAAAAAGGAAGAAGAGAAAAAAAAAAAAAAAAAAGAGCAAATCCAACACTATGCTTTGTACAAGAAACCCATATAAACCAAATGGAAACTCATAAACTAAAAGTCAAAAGATGGAAAAATACTTAATGGAACAGGATCACCGAAAAATGCAGGGGTAGCTATTCTGTGTTCAGACAATGTGAGCTTCAAACCACAAATTATCCAAAGAGATAAAGAAGGTTACTACATACTAGTTAGGAGAATACTTCAAGAGGAAGAGGTACCAATTTTAAATATATGCACCAAATTTGGAAGCACCCAGCTACACAAAATAAATATTAACAGAAATGAAAAATCAAAACATAATAATACAATTATAACAGGATACCTTAACATGCCATTGACACAAAGGGGCATATCAACTAGACAGAAAATCAGCAAAGAAATAACAGAACTGAATCATATCTGTGAAAAAATGGACTTGGTGGATATTTACAGAGTGTTCCACCCAAAAACTTCAGAATATGCATTTTTCTCAGCAGCACATGGAACGTTATCTAAAATAGAGTGTATACTAGCCCACAGGACATGCTTACAAAATTACAAAATAATTGAAATTGTCTCATGCATGTTAGCGGATCACAGCACTATAAATTAGAAATTAATGACAAAAGAAACTGAAAAACCCCCACAAACACATGGAAATTGAATAACATGCTCTTGAGCAATCAGTGGGTCACAGAACAAATTAAAGATGAAGTTAAACAATGTATACAAGTGAACAAAAATACAAATATGTCTTACTGGTACCTGTAGGATGCAATGAAAGCAGGCCTCAGAGGAAAATTTATAGCAGTGAATTCCCACATCAAGAAAAAAGAAAGAACACAAATATAAAGATCCTGGTGCTACACCTCAAACATTTAGAAAAAGAAGAGCAAATCAAGCCAAAAGCCAAAAAAAAAAAAAAAAATGTGGGGGAGGAAATTATAAATGTCAGAGCAGAAATCAGTGCAATAGAGATTAAGAAAACAACACAAAGAATGAATTAATTAATGAGTCAAAGTAATTTCTTTGAAAGAATAAAGTTGATAAGCCCCTAGTCAACCTTATTTAAAAGAGGACAGAAAAGCTCAAACTCATACAATTAGGTATGAAAAGGCTAACATTGCTACTGACCCTGTGGAAATACAGAAGATCATCAATAACTATTTTGAAAACCTCTACTCTCGTAGGCTTGATAACAGAAGAAATGGACAGATTCCTAGAAATATGTGAATCAACAAAGCCAGGTAAAAAAGATGTAAAATTGTTGAATAACCCAATTTCAACTAATGAAATTGAAAATGTATTTAAATCTTTACCAACAAAGAAAAGCCCACAACCAGACAGATTCACTATGGAATTCCAAAAGAAATGCAAAGAAGATTTAATGCCAACAGTCCTCAAACTCTTCAATGAAATCAGAAGGGAAGCAATTCTCCCTAACTCATTCCTGGAGGCAAATACTACTCTAATACCAAACTCTGAGAGAGACTCAACCAAAAAAGTGAACAACAGGCCAATCTCCCTAATGGACAAACAGGCAAAAATTCTCAATAAAAAATTGGCACTAGCAATAAAATCACTGAGAAAGAAATAAGAGAAGATATACCCTTCACAATAGTATCAAAAATAGAAAATAGAAATACTTACAAATCAGTCCAACCAAAGGAGTAAAAGATATTTCAGGTAAAATTTTAGTACTCTGAAAAAAGAAATCAAAGAGAACCTCAGAAAAGGGAAAGACATCCTTTGTTTATGGATAGGAAGAACAAATATTGTGAAAATGGCCATTCTCCAAAAAATTGTTATACAGATTTAATGGAATCCCAATCAAAATATCACTAGCATGTCTCAAGGGACTATAGGAATCACTCCTAAAATTCATCTGTATCCAGAAGAGAACTAGAATAGCAAAGGCAATTCTAAGCAATGAAGGCAAGGCAGGAGGCATCACAATCCCTGACTTAAATTTATACAACAAAGCTACTGTAATAATATCAGCATGGTACTGGAAAAAAAACAGACTGAAGATCAATGGAATAGATTAGAAGATAAAGTACAACTTTAAACACACTCAGCCACCTTATCTTTGATAAAAGGGCCAAACAGGTTCACTGCAAGAAAGATAGTCTCTTTAATGAATGGTTTTGCCTCTCCATGTGCAGAAAACTAAAGCTAGACACATGCCTATCACCACATACTAAACTAAAGTCTAAATGTATCAAAGATCTTAATATTAAACAGAAACACTAAATCTGTTGGAAGACAAAGTAGGTAGAAATCTTGAAGATATAGTGATAGGTAGAGAATTCCTGACCAAAAGTCAAACTGGATGGCAAACATTTCACAGAATCAATAACTGGATCACATTCTATTAAACAGCATTTGCATGTCAAAAGAAATCTCCAGCATAGTGAAAAGAAAACACAATTGGGAAAATATCTTTGTGAAATGTTCCTCAGACAAAGGAATTTTGCCTAGAACATATAAAGAATTTTTAAAAATCAGATCCCCAAAATTCAAAGACCCAGTCCAAAAAAGGGCATCTGAAATGAATACACAGTTCTCACATGAAGAAATACAAGTGGCAAATAAATACATGGAAAAAGGTTCAGCATCATTATTCATTAGAGAAATGCAAATTAAAACCACACTGAGATTCTATCTCACTCCATAAAGAATAGCAAGGGTGGAGAAAACTACCAACAACAGATGCTGAATAGGCTACGATGAAAAATGCACTCATCTGTACTACTGGTGGGAGTGTAGACTGGTGCAACCACTTTGGAGGTCAGTATAGAGATTCCTCAAAAACCTGAGACTGGAAATTCCACTTTACTTGGCTAGTCCACTTCTGGGCATTTCCCCAGAAAAACTGAAAACATCATACCACAGTGATATTTGTGCAGCCATGATTATAGCAGCAAAATTTGTAATAGCCAGACCTTGAAACAACCTATGTGTCCATCACCTGAGGAATGGATAAAAAACATGTGGCATTTTTATACAATGGAGTACTACTCAGCTATAAAGAATGAACACATTGTTATATTTATAGGTAAATGGATGCAACTCAATACTCATAAGTGAAATAAATCAAACTCACATGTGTAAATACCATAAGAAATGTTAACAGTATATAAGATACAAAAACCTTAATAAATACTGTGAAAGGATAAGAATCTGCTCAAAGGGGAAAAATAATTTATCAGGGAAAAGGAGGAAAAAGAAAAAGGAAGGGACAAGAAAAAATATCTAAAATGAAATAAACCCACTTAGGATAGCTATGATGATTGTTTTACAAATTTTGTAAGTTCTTGGAACAAAAAGTTAACATTCATACGATTGGAACAATTTTGCATATTATTGTATGGTAATGTGAGAATCTCTTAAAGACCACTGTGTAAAATAACAATCCTAGTTATGTTCTTACCACCATATTTTGAAGGCCTATATTGTCAGTGTATTGGCTCTTGGCTATTGACATTTATTTGTCATTTTATTTTCTTGTTTGTTTGATGTTTTTCTAGGATTTTGTTTTGTTTTGTTGTGTTTTTCACTCTAATAAATAAAGGATAGGTATACGTGTAGAGACTCATGCATGCATAGAACTTCTCCTAAACAGTTTATGAGAATCGATTATATAATGCATGATGAAATGAAAAGCTACTTTGAAGAAAAAGAGACACTAAGGTATCCAGTGCTGATTCCTGCTGCATCATTCTGTGAAATCCAGAAATATCATTATTCTTTATTCAAAATGATTTTAGTCTGTTTTGTATTGTTTAATTTCAACATATGTGAAGCTATGGACAACTATTTTAAAGAGAACGAGAGATATTGTGGCAGCCATTGTTGATTTCCCTATTGTCTGGTTTTGAAGGCCTATAATGCCTTAATCACTCTGTTCATTCTGTTTTGATCAGTTTAAAACTATTTTTGTATGAATTCATTTTGTTTAAAGATACGGATGATTTAGAAAACTAGAGACAATATGATAGCCAGTGATGATCTCCTGTTGTCCTGCTTTGAAATCTGTGTCACACTGTTTTCTTCTGATCTGCTTTATTCTGTTTAGCTATGCTTAGTTTTGCCATCTTTAAAGTAAAATTTTAAAAAGCCAATGACTTTAAAAAAACTAAAACCAAAAATAAATAATTTAACCCTTCTAAAGGTTGCTGTACTTCCTAATTTGTAACTGCCTTAAAAATTTGTGGAAAGAACAAAAGATTAAAAACTATGGCACCTCATACAATTGAAATTTTAGAGGATACTTCCATTTCTTTAAACTTTTCAGAAATTTGGAAAAAAAAATCTAAGATTTTTACTAAATATCAATAAAGTGTATCTTGAGTTAATTTTTTAAAACATTAATATAAATTCTTATGAAACAATGTAACTTTAAGCACTTACCTAATCCATGTCTATGCATTGACATGGGAGGCATCACCATCCAGATTTTGTCCACTGGATTAAAACATTCCACTGTATTCAAAGTTTTTAAACCATCTCTTCCTCCCACAATATAAAGTTTATTATCAATAACTGCAACTCCAAACTGAAGCCTATGGCCATTCATGGATCCTATATGAAGCCAACTATTGGTCCTCAGGTCGTATTTTTCAATTGTAGTAGTACCTGTTAAAAAGATGTGAAATAATGATAAAATCATGTATATTAAAATTTTAAATTGACATTCATTCACATTATACATCTTTTTTTATTTTAATACAGTATCAGCAATCGCAGTTCAAATTAATAAGTAACCCAGATGATACTATAACATGAAAGCTAAGGAAAAGACTAATACTTTTGTCATTTCTACATAAACATGGAAGATTCACAGTAACACATTTTAAATGGTTAATATGGTTAACACCATCACAACATTTTATTTGGTCATAATATGCTAATATTGGTACTGATACAGGTGTGAAATATCACATTTTACAATAAAAATGCCTTATATTTTATTATTAAGCATTTACAAGTATTATGCAGTTTAATTATTTATGACCATTCAATGTGCTGTCTCATGATCTTTTAGTTTGAAGTATGTGGTTGTTTATGTATATATGCTTATTTAAAAGAAAAGTGGCTGAAAAACAAGGAATGAAAGTTATTTTTATTGAAATTATTGGTGTATATTAAATATCTCAGTAAGATATTTTATTATGATGTTTTTATGTATGCATATAACATGTTTTTATAATATCTACTGTCACTGTTCCTCTCATTTGTTGTCTTCCTTCTCCCTGGAACTCTTACCATTCCCTAATTGTCACCCTTCTATTTAATGGCATCACTGTTTTTCTAAATTCCAACTATTAGAGAAAACATACCATATTTGTCTCTTTGAGATTAGTTTGATTCATTCAACTTAGTTACCTTTTTTACTATACAATTTCCTGAAAATAACCATGTCCATTCCTTTATGTCAGAATTATTATTCTTTTGTGGATATATTTTTTTTCCAAAATGTACTGAAAGGCTTAGAGATGACTACTGTGATGGCAATGCTTATTACCATTCACTCATAATAGTTGCTGTATTTTTTTTTTATTTAAGCTGTTTTTGTATAACAGTTGGGCTACTAAATAATGAACAATGGCAAATGATAATATTTGAATTCAGTTTTGCAGTGTATGTAAGACATTTTAAGGTAGATTTAGGGAAATTTACCTCACATGCACAAAGCTACCTAAAGGAATGAGAAAAAGCGCTAAAAGTTTTTTAGTGAAATAACCATGGAGAAAAGGTAACTGATTTCTTTCCATGAAAATAACATTAATATCTGAAGTATACTAATTGATTATGGCATGGTGTTATTTTACCTTTATATCCCAGCTGAATATGTATTAGCTGTATAACTGATTATGATTCTGAAAGTTTGTTTTGTATTAGATTTATCTTGGATTAGATTATCTTTTCTGTGCTAAATGTATTTGAATTCTACTAAAGGCTGAACTATCTATTAACTCACATTTACCTTCACTATACTTGCTTTTTTCACAGCAATTTCTCTGTTTTAGTTTTTCCATTTTTTGATTCTAAATTTGCAAATCTTTATGTTTCTTTTTAACATTTTATCTTTTTCATTAATGGATTAACAAAAGATCTAATTTAGATTAACAAATGAGTGAAAACAGGCTGAACTTTGTTAAAATTAATGGTGAAATAATTAGAAAGTTGTATGAACCTACATCAAGTAGCTGTATACAAAGATTTACACTGAAAGATGCCAATATCTGTGTTATGCTGGGTTAATTTTTTCTAGACATTTGATTAAATGAGATAAAATTCTCACACTTCTTTTAAAATGATGAATGTTTATAACCAGTATCTCTGTACCTTGAATCCTAAAGATTCATCTCTTTCATACCTGACAATATGTACTAAGTAATCAAGATGTAAGTTCTCTAGCACACTCTGGCACCTTTACATTTCAGAAAAAAATATAAATCAGATGTTTTAATTCTTTAGAATTTTTATGTGTAAATCAACTTTGTGCTTAGAATGTTGCAAATATTGGTTCAATTGATTTTTAAATTCTTTTTTTTTTTAAATTTTATTTAAGGAGAAAAGAAAAAAAAGCAGGGAAAGGGTACAAGTTATACAGATTTACAGAAAAAAAATGAACAGTAGGAAATCACTAGTTAATGGATTACATATTGTCATCTTAGAAATAATTGTTCAAGTCACAAAATTAAAGCTTGTAAAGTGGACATTCCATCAATGATACTGCAAACAGTTCTGTTCATTGATCCAATAAAACTCTGTGATATCATTTTCTATCTTATACATTTAAATATACATGCAGTTATATAGTTTGGAACACTTTCTTTTCCTCTCTTTTGTACCATGACTATTACACATTTTGGGTTTCATTGCTCCCACGGTTCTTATTACTTTTTTGGAAGAGAGTAAAACCAAATGTGACATAACAGAACAGAATCGGTCAAGTCAAAAGGGTGGACATAATAGATAATGTAAAAACATAATACAAGGTGATCAACAATGGTTACCATAATGCCTCCCGCTATCTCTAATAGAATTGCCTATATCGTTAGTTATAATACAATTGAACAAAACAGTAAAGAATAAAACCGACAAAACCAAAACATTGGAGACATTGTAGGTCTTCAAAAGTAGATAAAAGTCAACAAGAATGGGCGTCATAATGAATCTCATTATCTTCACAGCTGATGCCTAAACTTTCAAACCTGATACTATCCAGCAAAACAGAATAGGGGAACATCAGTTAAAAACCAGATGGTGAGAGTAATACAGGGCTTTAAATCAAGGTAATGAAAAGTCAAAGTGGTTTACTATAATATATCCTGCTATTTTTTTTCGTTTAATTAAAAGGATAAAGATAAAAAAGTAAATAATGGAGTGGAGATTGAGATAAAAGAGGGCGTAACAACGAAACAACGCAGATCAAAACATAACCATTTAAGCAGAATAGTGTGGTAATACTGATTTAGTATCATCTTGTTTTAAAGTCTCATCTAGCTTTTGTCCTTCTGTCTCCAATGGTCTAAATAGGCTGTATCTTATTGGATTTTATTATGTACGATAGTATAAGCAAAAACCTTTTAAAGACAAGGAGATTATACAGAAACCATTGTTCATTTTCTATTAGTCAATTCTAAATACTCGGTAACGCTGTCATTCTCTTGAATGGTTTTACATTGTTTTGATATACTTAATGCTACAGTATACGAAGTTGTACTCAAGGATTTCAAAGAAAGAGACAATATGGTAACTACTTTTAGGTTAGGATTATCTGGTGGTGAAACACTATTCTGATTTTTAAATTCTTAATCCATATCTATTCCTTACAAGACAGAACAAAGTCCACCAAACATAGTATTCCTAGGAACACTACTATAGTTTCTGCAATTGTGAATATATCCAACTTGATGATTTCTTTAATTAACTTAAAATGATCTAAAAGTTACTATATCTACCTTGGTTGTCTTCTTCCATATTTTCTCCTAGAACTTAATGTTGTTAATGCATAAAATGCTACTGAACAGCTTTTACATGTAAGATATGCAAAATTTACCATATGGTCATTTTAACTTTTGACTTTTATCATACTTAGAATTTTCTCTTTTTTTCTTTTATTTATACATTGCTTCTTTCTTTCTTTCTTTTTTTGTACCAGTTATCAAACTCATGACCTAATGCTTACCAGGCAAGCGCTTGAGCCACTGAGCTAAATACCCAGCCCTGTACTAACAAATTTCTAAAGATTATTTTACATACATTGTAGCAATTTTACTTACACTAGTTATTTATGTAGTATCTATATTTAAAATTAATATTAAGTTTACTGTAGGAGAGATGAAATTAAAGACCGAGGATTCCTCTATTGACTAGACATCGAAAAATTAACGTTCAAAAATTACTTTAAAATAACTGAAATAATACACTCTAAAAACATGCATATATATATAGAGAGAAAAAATGGTCATACAAGCAAACAAGCCCAATCTGTGAACCAGCACCATGCGCAGGATGCTGCAGGACTGAGAATAGATAGGTCCAAGCCTCTCCCCATAAGTCAATGCCATTCATGGACTGAGAGGAGAGAGAACAATGGTTGCACCAGAAAAGACACTCAGTCTCAGAGCCAGCATCATTCATGGGCCCCTGCCTGACTGAAAATGGCCATCCTCTTCTGGCATGTGGGCTGGGAAACAAGAAGTAACACGCCCCTGTAAGTGACTGGACTATCCTGAGAAGCACAGGCTGTGATGATAATTATTGAGGTGAAATGCATTGGATGCCTGTGGTTCTTTGGTGTTTCACTAACATTGCAGGTCTAGGGCCAGTGGTCTGATCATAGGTTCACAGGATGTTGTTATGCAGTGTGACGTTTAGGGGAATATCTCCTTCTGAAGACTGCAGCCATTGGTGATTCCTTATGATCTTGTTTTGAGGTCCTATATCATTTCCACTGTTTTGATGGGTTAACTTTTATTCTCTTTTGTTTTGTTTATGTTAAATACGATGGCAGAAGAAGCTATTTCAAAAACAGCAAGATACGATAGTAAATTTGAGTTTACTACTGGCTTGTTTTGAAATCCTTCATTGAACTCACTATTTTCTTTTTATTATTTCTATTCTACTTTGTTCTGTTTGATTTTTACTATATCTAAAGTTGTCCTGCAGGTATTTTGAAGATGTCAAAAGTCATTATGGTAACTATTGTTGATTTCATAATGTTTTGACATCCTGTATCTCTTAAACTGATTTGTTTTGATTGGTTTTATTCTGTTTTATCCCTTTTAAATAAGAATTTAAAAAGTGAATATGGGCATCTTTTTAATACTTGTGTGAGAGAATGTGAATTATCATGTTTTGACATATTACTAATTTATATCAATAAATGATATACCTTAAAATGCTTTTTTTATTCTTGATATTTCTTATTTTATTGTTCTTGTTCCTGTATATTCATCCGAGTTTTTCAGTAGTTTTTAAAATCTTAAAGAGAATGAGTAATTTTGTTTTTATGTCTTATATAGGGATAGCATATAAAAAGGTACATAGAATTTGAGTGGCGATTCCATTTCCAGTTTATCTACATGTGAATTCTTGGCTTTGCTATCTACTTTTTTTTTTTTTTTTTTGTCTTTTTCCTTTTTATCGGTACCAGGATTCGAACTCAAAACTGCCTGCTTCCAAGGCAGGCGCTTATGCCGCTGAGCTAAATCCCCAGGCCCCTATCTACTCTTAAAATATGCAAAGTAGTAATCAAATGTATTATTGTTAGAATTAGAAATATTTGCAAAATTTCCAATCAAGAATCAGCTATACAAAATGAAATGTTTTATCATTCTTCTAGCAATTTGCAACTTCTCATGCAGACTCTATAATTTCTACATATAGTAGCATTCAAGGAGTCTCAAAATCATGACCTCTGCCTTCTAATATGAAACTGTGGTAGTAGACTTCAAGGATTACAGGATCATACTTCATTCATTTCTAAGTATTGATAAAAAGTTATAGGTCTTCGTGAATATTTTAAAAACCATTTATATTATGATGAAGAAGAATCTGAAAATTACAGAAATAGAAACAAGTGCAAAGTCTACCTTTCTCTTTATTTATTAGACCGATAAATTATCAGAAATAAAAGGAAACTGCAAATATATTTTTATTTAGCTTTCAAGTTAAATAACAAAGAAGAAATCTAACAAAACACCTTATATACATTCTGTTCAACCAAGTACAATAATATGATAATTTTTATGACTTGAAATTAATTACAATATTGCATTTTATTTGTAATTTCTGAAGAATGTTCTGTAAAGTTACCTTACAACTTTGGAAATAGTTGATTATTTTGTAAAGGCTGTTATGCTGTGAAGATATCCTCTGTAATTCTTGGGTTGGAAAATTAGCCCCTGATGTCAATATTGAAGTTTGTTACACCTCTAAGAGGTGATATAATCATGAGTCACTACTCTCATGAATGGATTAGTGCTGCTTTCATGAGACTGAATTAGTGACCAGTGTTGATTGTTATAAAGCAAGGATGCATAATATTTCTTATACCCTACATGCAACTGCTTTGTGCTTCCATTGTGCTACAGTGTTGAAATCCCAGCCTACAAATGGGTAAAATTTTATTTTTTATCAGTTATATATGGAATCTATATGCAGAAAAACTAAGAAAATACTCACATGATAAGCTATTACATTTTCTACATATTCTTCTAATTTACAGCTATACATATCAAATGAAAGAATAGTTTTCCAGTAGGGTAAAACTTTGATTTATATATCATTTTCTTCATGGTATCAAATGAAATTTCTCTTAGTGTCTTACCAATACATTTGTCTTTGTGTAGATTGATCATTTTATAATCTACTTAACCAATGCTTAGTGATTTAGCCTAGCATAGCCAGGCATATGCGCCTGCCTTGCAAGCAGGCAGTCGTGAGTTCGATTTCTGGTACCGATAATAAAATGCTACGTATCATATTCTTGCTCATTGTTTTAGTAACAGTATTTTGAAACCCTGGAAATCAATTTTAAAAACAGAGATATCAGAAAACAATTTCTAAGAAATGATCCTGAAGGATTTATGGCTGCAGAAAATGTATTATATTATACTTGATTAAGTGCTTATGAAAAATAACTATTTTATCCTGTTTGAACTTCTGATTTCCTCATAAGCACATTAAGACCCTTTGTAATTAGTCTATGAGCATCTATAAGAAATTGAGATCTAGAGCTAGAATTCACTATATTGTTCTCAAAAAAATTAGAGTGTCATATCCCTTATTTTTATGACAAATGTTAAATATGTTTTCCCTGAATGATATCATGTAGCAGACTGGATATTCAAAATTAAAATGGCTTTCATAAAGTAAAATGATGCACTAAGGACTTGCCCAATACTGTCTAAAGGTCATGTCCTGTGAGATAAGAAGAAAAATGAGACACATCACATAAAAATTGTTTTTATGACAATTAGCTTTAGATACCCTCAATTATTATAGTTTTATTACCATTCTCAAAATTTGGATAGTGTGGAAAACGATTCTTCTTCTTTGAAGACAGTTTGTAGAATAATTAATTTGTCTCTTTTACCTTTCGTAGCATCCATGCCTCCCACAGCATAAAGTGCCCCTACCGTTGATTTTCGGGGCTTTGTTCGAGGGCTTTGCATCATGGGTCTCTTCTCAGGTAAGAGATGATATTTCATAGCTTCCATTAGGAGTTTCTGACATTCAAGATCACCAGTAAAAATGGAACTATTTTCAAGATCTGCAAGTAACTGAAAAGAAATAATTTTGTGATTTATTTAAAAAATGAATTCACCATTAGAAAGAACACACTTTAGGTATACAATTTAGAAAGAACCTGGAGTTAAATCAAATGTTAGTTTTGGATTATTGAAAATTTTGTTACTTACACATTTTTTTATTTTAACTTATGTAAAACAGTTAAATGCTTCATAGAAATAGTTAATGATTTAATCGATAGTGTTCATATTTTGGATATGTACATATATTCTCTGAAGGGGTGTGAGTGATGCATAACTGAAGCATGGCATGGTGTCACATGCCTGTATCACTCAGATATTTGACACAAAATGATTGCAAGTTTGAGACCAGCCTAAGCTTTACAGACCTGACCTGTCTGAAAAAAAAAAAGGCCCAGAGTTTATAGTTCAATGCAAGACACTAAATTTAATCACCCATGCTGTAACAGAAGAAAAAAGAATGTATTGAGTCTCAAGTCTAGCTCTATCTTGTCTCAAAATTGTTAAGAATGTGGCTCAGTGGTAGAATTGTTAATTAGTATGCACAAAATCCTGGGTTGGTTCACTAATATTGCAAAAATAAAAGTTATTAGTGAACAAGACTGGAAATTAAGGCTGTTACTGTTCAAAGTAAGCATCTCCTAGCCAACTGGATGTAGCTAACAAAAGCAGCAATTTTTTAGTGTATTTGGTATTATGGTAATGATGGTGATCATGCAAAACTCCTCTATTAAAACAATGTCATGCATAGAAATGTGAATCTTTATCACCAAGTCACTTCTGTATTCTTAAATTTGACATACTTCAAATGAATTAATGTGTATGAGTCATTAATGAGACAAGACAAAAACAAAACAGATGAAAAATCCTACCACTACCTGACAGATGTAGTCTGTCTTAATTGACATTAATACAAGATAGACAACATATTTTTCCTGAGATGAATTAGACAGAAGTTCAAGTATACATCAGAATGGTGTCAAAAGTTGTATTACATTGGCTTTCTTGGCATTCTGGGTCCAATATTGTAGGACATTGAGATGAACAGCTACCTTGTCTTGTTGGGTTGGAACTGTTAATCTCATCTCAGAACTTTTCTGAAATTTCCTGGTTTGCTTTGGATAACTTCAGTTCTATTCTCATGTCACCTGTAATTTTGGATCAGTCACTATTTTGACATCCGTTAGGAGACTTCTGGCATTTCTTCACCTGCATATGTTTGAAGATTAAGCTATGTAGATTTCTTAAAAATATTCTCTAGAAATATCATCATCCAGTTCATTCCTAAAATATTTGGTTATAAGCACTTTTAAAGTTATTTTGGAAATCTATACTTCTATGTTAAAATTTATCAGTCATATTATGTGGGGAGGTTTACATAATCCATATCCTACATATGGCATATACCATATGTAGATATAAAAGGACAAGGTATCACCGTATGTATATTTGATCTGGAAATTTTCTTTGATCCAAGTAAAGTAAGAAAATTTCAAAATAATTGTTTTTTTTTTTGAAAAAAAAAGTCTGACAGAATTAAGTGAGAATAAAATTAAGGATTGATATTATATTACACCAGTGCATCTTAAATTTTTGTGTCTGAAAATCATATGATAAACATGTTAAAGCATAAGATTCTACAGACTGACCAGCAAAACTTTCTTCAGTTGGTCTAGAGTGAAGCCTGAAAAATTATACTGCTAACAAGCACTCAGGCAATGTCATGCTACTGGTCCAAAACATTTTAAATGGTAACATCTTTGACACTCTTATAAAACACATTCCCATAGATATACTCTGATGAATAATGCAAATAAGTGTGCACATGTTCATGCAAACAAGATTTCTACGTATTTTTCAGCTTGTATGTCAATTTTAAATTTAGAACTTAGGGTTTCTAAACTATACATACTATATATTATAATTTTTATCTTTTGGTGTTATTACTGCTTCACATTTAGTAAATTTGATATATGTGAGATATCACTGAATGTTGTTTCATCATAGAAAGACAGACAGATAGATTTATTGATTGATTATTAAAACCAAATGTGCAGTTTCATGGGATTTACTTAATATATATATATATATATATATATATATATATATATATATGTGTGTGTGTGTGTGTGTGTGTGTGTGTACTATCAATGAATTGTTATTTCTACTATTGTATTTCATCAAATAAGATTGTATTTGAGAATTAGATTAACTGTAACATTTGTGAAACTATTGATCCACTGAACTCAGACAAGTTCCCTCTTTCCAATGTAGGAACTTGTTAATTTATTTGTTAAATTTACCCACAGATTCAATAAATATGTAATCCACATAGAAAGTACAATATCCCATATGCTATAAATTATATTTCCTATCGATTAATTTTCTATAAAGAAAAATTGTGACTATCATCAAAGTTGAAATTATGTCATGGTATCTCACTGTAGCGTCACTAAAATTCATATACTAAAATTAAGGGTGAGGTGAGTAAACTTAGATTTTATCCAAGGATATTATTTTTCTTTTTAGAATATTCTGTGCTGCAATCCTTCAATTTGGCCTGTTTTAACATGCCATTATAACAATATTCTCTTGCAGCTAAATGCATGTCATCTTGCTTTCAGTCATAGCAGCTGATTACACACGTTAGTAGATACTATGTGCCTTAAAGCCTCCACTGGGAGGCAATGATGATGATTAGCTTCACCTTGCATAGAAGATAAGGAGGAAATTTTTTTAAAAAATGTTTAACTTAGTCATTTTCCTTTGGTTCTACAAGTGCTATTTGTTCAGATAAAATTAAAATTAAAGAGTATTCTGATGTTTAAGAATTATCTGTCATTTTTATATGACTGTTTCCTCTTTTTATATTATTGACGGTTCTAATTGAATGATGCATACATCCTTCTATGGAATAGATCCACTTATAAAGACTCTTAGATATTTATGAATTATCCAAAAGTAAATCAAGAATATGAAAATCTGAATAATTCAGTAGTAGTCAATGCAAATGAAGCAGTAAATTTTTAAAAACCTAACAACTAAGAAAATATAAGGAACCAATGGATCCACCATTAATTTCTACATGAAATTTGAAGAAGATATAATGCCAATACTCCCAAAAATCTTTAACAAATTGAGTAAAGAGTGCTTACAAAAGTATTCTGGAATAAAAGGACACAACTGAAAAAGAGTACCATGAGTCAATCACTTCAATGGACATAGATGCAAAAATCTCAACAAAGTACTGGCAAAAAATCCAAACAAAAATAGGTATAGAAAAAATTTCTCAATCTGATAAAAGCTATTTTTATTACCCAACTGCCAACATCACATTGTAAGGATAATCAGGAAGAAATAGGCAATGGAAGGAACAACATGGTTGACTAGTGTAACAGAGATAACACATGCTTACTCATGACATGGTTTATTGGAGGAGGCTTCCCTTTGTGAGACGTTTACATACATTTACCATGTGGTCGTAGATCCTGTGAACCTTGGCTCATCCCAGAAACAAAGAATACGATCCTAATTGTACCAATCAGTGAAACAGTTACTTTTAGAAAATCATCTTACCATTTTAAATATGCCCAAGGTAGAGACATGTTAATACGCTCACCTCCCAAGTTTCTAATTTCCATGCATTTCACTATTTGGCAGTCCCCATTTCTGTTATATAATTAATAAACCTCTGCTTCATATTACTTTTTGTTTTTTGAGCTGCTCCTTCAGTACCCAAGACTACCTGACTTTTTTCCACTAGGTTAATTCTTGGCTTTGATTCAGTCCCACTTCTCCTTTCTTCACTGGGCTGGAGAACAAGAACTCAAGAAACAGAGATCACATCATGGATGAAGAAATCAAGCATGGTCAACAGGAGGCATAATCCTAAAATTCAAGTTATATGGAAAATCTACAGTGATAAAAACATTATGGAACTTCCATAAAAGCAAATGTGTACAACAATGAAAAAGAGTAAGATACACAAAAGCAAACTCAAACACTTTTAGGTATCTGATTTTTGGCCACGAGACCAGAAGCATACTTTAGAAATAAGAGAGACTACTTAGCAAGCACTGAGAAAACTCACTACATAAATGCAAAGCATTGTATCTAGACTTATATCTCTTAACACATAATAAACAAAAATCAGAATATATGAAACACCTAAATATTAAAACAGAAGAACTTAAACTATTGGAAGATAATCTAAGTCAAACTCTTGAAGACATAAGAATAGACAAAAACTTTCTCAATAGGACCCGACAAGAAACAAATCAAGAGTAAGCAAACAGTATTAACAAATCAAAAATCTTCTGCACAGCTAAGGGAACGATCAACAAAGAGAAGAAAGTGAAAAAACCTACAGAAAGTGGAGAAACTTGTTGTTAATTTTCAAAACAAAACAAAAAGAAATGATACAAAATTTCAAAAATAGTAGGAAATTAACACTAGTTAATATATTGCATATCATTATCTTAGATTTTGTTCTGGTTGTAAAATTTAGACAAGAAAAAATGATAAAAAATTTTGCCAGGTACCACTCAGACAGAAGACTAACATCTAGAATAAATGAAGAACTAAAAGATATTAGATCCCCAGATTTAAATACCTATTAAAGACGAAGAGTATCTGAAAAAGAATAGACACTTTGGCAATAAGTACATGAAAAGTGTTCAGAATTGCTAGCCATTTGATAAATACAAATTAAAACAATGCTGAGTTTCCATTCTATCCCAGAAATAATGATTATCACCAAGAAATCAATCATAACAGATGTCAATGAAGCTGGGAGTAAAAGGGCCCATATTCGGTTGTTGCTGGGTATGTAAACTGGTACAACTACTATGGAAAGCAGTATGGGGATGCCTCATAAAAATAATGCTAGAAGTTTCATTTGACCCAGCTAGTCTCCTTCTTGATATTCTCTCAAAAGTATTAAGGTCATTATACTGTAGTGACACATACTCATGTTTATAGCAGCACAATTTATGATAGCTAAGTCTTCGAAACAGCCCATATGCTCATCAGCAGATAAACAGATAAAGAAAATGGAGTATCTCTATACAAGAGGATTCTACTCTCCCATGAAAGGACAAACTTGAGACATTTTTCAGTAAATAGATTTACCTCAAAACAAAATCTAGGACCAGGGATATAGCTCAGTGGCACAGCACCTGCCTGGCACGTGCAGGGTCCCAAGTTCAATTTCCAGTACAAAAACAAACAAAAACAAAAACTATAATCTAAAGTTAAATATATCAGACACAAATTTAAATACTGCACTATTTCTTTTCTATGAGAAACCCAAAGTATAATAAGCAAAATGAAGGTTAAATTTTACAGAAATTAATATGGAGGCTTGATTCTTCAAAGGACTAAACATAGAAATTCCATTTGACACAGCTACTACCCTTGTAGTTATTTTCCCAAAAGAATTAAAGAAATTATAATAAAATGGTGCACAACCATACTTACAGAACTACAACTCATAATGGCTAAATCATAGAAGAGGCCTATATGTTCATGAACAGATGAATAGATAAAGAAAATGTGATATTTACAAACAATGGACCAGACTACAATAAGGAAAGATAAACCTAAGTCATCTCTTGAAAAAGGATATATCTTGAAACCATAATGGTAAGTGAAATAAATCAGGCACATAAGGTTAAATATTTCATGGTTTCATTTTTAAATGTAAAACCAAAATAGCATATAGCAAAATAAAAGTTAATAGGAAGCAGACTGATAGACTTTTGTAAAAAGAAAGGGAATCAAGTAATAAAGGGAAGAGTTGGGAGGGGAGCAAAAAGAAACGAGTATTAAGATATGTTATGAATATGTCATGCCATATCATGCAATGTGTCTGTACCAACATTTCATGATTAATATAATAATTATGTATTGCAAACATTTACTAATATAAATAAAATAGCAAAAAAAGTAGGGAACTAATTAATGGATTGATGCTGGTGGTAGCTTAGAGCTCTGGTTCACATCACCTGGGTGAATTTCCATACCTGTCGTGGGAGTAATGGGAGTCTGATGTAGGAAAGCAGCATTGCCAGGTCTCCTTGTCTAGTTTGAGCATCATGGCCTATCCACTCCATTAAAGCATAGAAAATGGTTTCTTCATCAGGCACATTAATGTCATCGCTGCACAGAAACTTTGAAATCTCATTAACTGGGAGCTGGAGAAATTCTTGATTCTTTATGACATCAATGAAATGTTCCTAGACAAGAAAGAGCATCTATTCAAACTTTGTACTTCAGAAATTTCTTAATAAAAGAAGCATTATCAAAATATTTCACTTCATCTTCTTTCAGAAAGTCAGAGTGATAGACATATCCACCTTTAGCTGATCATTGATACTGTTACCAACGAAAGGAATGTGGAAGCCTTGTAAAGTGGAAGGAGAAAATGCTTCCACTGATGATTGTTCATTGATCACAAAAAAGCCTTAATAGCTTCACAGACACAGAAATTGGTATCAATACTTTCTCTTTCAGCTATTGTTCAAGATAGCAGCAGCTTATGACTTCAGAAATTATGGTTTCATTTATCTTTACTCAAAAGCCCAAGGAAAATCTTTAAAGTTTTGAAGGAGGAAACTATATGGGAGAGTTACGTCTTTGTGCTTTACACAGTTATTGTTACTTTTTTTTTTCAAAGATGAGAAAAAGATCTAGCATTAATGAAAACTCTTTCCTATTATGGAATATAATGATCTTCTATCATTCAAAATAAATGCATCCTTTTTATGTTGTGTTACAATCTACACAATCAAGATTATGCAGAAGAGGTTCTACTATGAGGTGCTTCGTTTTTATTTTCTTGTTTTATGGTATTTCTGACTGAACTCAGATCCTTCATATTGGGCTATATCCTCAGGCCATCTTTCTGTCTAACTGTCATCTTTTGTCCATATTTTCAAGGCAAGATCTTATTAGTTTGCCAATTTTCCCAGGTTGGATTCAAATTTGCAATCCTCTTGCTTCAATATCCCAGAGTTCTGGGATTACAGATGTGCACAAGCATTAAAAGATTCAATGTTTCTTTAGGAGAAGAAATGGCTACATCTCAATTTTATGCATTGTATATCAGTTTTCCTTTTTATACTGGTATTGTCGTGTATTCTGTCATATATCAAATTTTACAGAGCTATGTTTCAAATTTTGTATCAAATACCAACATGTTTTTGTATATAAATATGACAGTTTCTAAAAATATAATTTGTCACATTTTTCATGATGAAGGTATCACATTAAATGCAATAAAATATACTTTTTGAAAAAATTTCATATATATATATGATAAATAGAAACTAGGGAAATCTTTTTCAAATGGATAGATGAATAAGGAATGAAGGAAATGGAGAGGAGAGGAAAAGTGGATGAAAAACATTTGAAAGAAAAAAGGAAAATAGAGCTTTTGCAAATGGTAGTTGTGCTAAGAGCAGGGAGAAATGCAAGGGGTAGGAGCCAAAAAAAGAATTAAAATGTATTATGTTCATGTAAAGACTTTCCACAATAAATGTCATCATTGTGCATTTTAAACATGATCTAATTAAACAGCAATATTCTTGTTTGGTATTTCCCAGTATCACTGGGAATCTAACTCAAAAGCTTTCACTTGCCAGGTGGGTGCTGTGCTACTGAGTTATATCCTTGGCCTCTGAAACATCAATATTCACGAAGCAACTTTAAAGCAAAAAATAATTCTGAAATAGAGATGAACATGTTACTTGGCAATTTTTTGGCATAATAGCCAGATATTTTTGGAATAGTTTAAGACTACCTCTGAATTATTGGGGGAAACTGACTAAATTAAGACATTCTCTTACCTGTACTTTGACTTTAGTCACGACATGACTGAGGTCAGCTAATATCAGAATCATTCATACAGAATAATCAATATTGGCAGATGAATAATGAAGCTGTTATGCCACAAATTCAAAATAACTTGCTTATTTAGTAAAATAGTCATCTTCTGTGATTAAAGCAAGCAATTTCAAAAGAATTGGTGCCCTTATTAAAGCAGGTGATTCTTGTTAAAAATCCTCTTGAATCAAATAATGGTAGTACTTTTACTATTACTAATACATTTCACTTGTACACAGTTAATGCTTTACAAAAAACTTAAATTCACCAGAGCTAACTTACTGCCAATATGATCTTTTGATAAGGTGAAATTATTCCAATGAAAATGCCCATTATTTTATTAACTATTGAATAAGTGGCAAAGTTTTAACTCAAACCATAAGCTTCTGAGATCATGTAAAGTGCATACTGTTCAGTTCTTCAGCTGCTGCCCTAAGAGATAACATACTTATGATCGATTGAAAACATAAAAAACTATAAAAAATTTTAGTTATTGATTCATGTTATGTACATAAACTCTGAAACTATGTTAACATGATTAAAAGCATTATGTCATTGTCTTTCTATTCTCCAGTGAAAGAATTTTTTGAAGCAATGAGAGAAAAAATAAATACCTCAATATGTAAGTCTACTTGATGATTAACATTGATCTCAGACTAATCCATTAAATGTGATTATACATTTGAGTCAATAAAAACATGATAAGAAACTGTTAATAAGCAAGTCATGTTTGATATTGCCAGAAATTAGATATTGTGACAGAATTTTTTGTCTTCACATTGCTTAGACACATTGTTAGACCATGTATATTAGTCTAAATAAAAAATATACACTGTATTATGATCTACTGTAGAGAAACTGTTAGACTCAGATCCTAATATTAAATTGTTGATTTTAAAATTATTTTGCTCCTAATTTCAAAGTAAACACTCTTGTTCTATGTATTTTCTCAACAATCTTTTATGCCTTGTATTCACCATTTATTTATTGCTTTAAAATTTTGTTTGAGTATTTTAAACTTTGTGAAATATATATAGCATACTTGTTGAGTGATGCATTCATACAGACAAGAGTTTATATTTATATTATTGAAATAATTAACTCTTTGTGTCAACATGATTAGGTCTCAAGCTGCCTGGACATTTCATTCAACATTATTCGGGTGAGTGTTTTTCTGCATTAAGTCCACCGATATTAGCAAGATTATAATTCCTAAATATACATTGTTAAACATTAAAACTATTTAAATTAATATACTAGCAAATATAATTTCAAAGCAGTATTTTAACAAAACCTTTATCTAGTGTACTGTATTAAACATAGATACTAATACAACCAAAGAAGAGGGATTAAGAGAAACATTATTGCATTTTTCTGAATATCCTGCTTTACTATTCATATTAATACACAATATGATAAGGAAGATAGGTTTATTTTGAGCAAGAAAAATAACTTAATTTATGTATTAGACATGCTTTGTTAGTAAAACATGTTACAAGAAAAGAATAGTTTTTCAAGATTTTAGGTAATTGAACAGGAAGTCTTTGAATCAAACTTTGAACTAAACGTTTGCTGTCCCTTTAAATCATATTACATCTGTATTTAGGACAAAGGAATGAAAATAATATAATAATGTGAAAAAAATTTTAATGTGAATTCATTATAATATGATTCTCCAAATAATGATATTGTTACAGGAATATGTTTGAAATTTTGGATGTTGAACAATGACCTGGGGTGAGAAGAAGAAAGGAGAAAGATTAATAAGGAAGCACTACATGATTCAAATTTTATAAATTTGTGAACATTTAAATTTGTGTAATAATCTTGAAAAATTCTATTTATTTTCATCTAGATCTAAAATTACTTTTATCAATTTGACATGCAACCCTGCATTGTTCTCTTTTATACAATTTTATTTTTCCTCAAATTTTTATAATTAATTGTTTATTGGTAAAATTTAGATACACATAATGATCATAAACATACTAGAGAATTGTACCTGTACATGATATATCTCGATTCTTCTTTTTTTCTCATTTCTCTTACCCTCTTTATTTACATAAGCTTTTTCCATCTTATCCTTCTTTTCTCATTTCTTTTATTTTGATTTCTTTCCCCTTTCACTTCTCTAGTTCTCCTTTCCATTTAATTACTTTCTTCCTATTTCATAATATCTATTATACGTTTTGGTCCTTACGTAAACTTCCAGTTTCTCACACCAGAGAAACAATGCAGTATTTAAATGTATGTGTGTCATTTATTTTACTTAACAAGAGGATGGTCTCTAGGTGCCTCCTATACCCTATAAATGTCTCAGATTTGCCCTATTTATGGTGTTATAAAAATGCACACCTTCTTTATACATTGGTTGCTGAGCATTTGGGCAGTTACCAACACTTAGCTATTGCAAACTGTGCTGCTATAAACATGGGTATGCGTGTATTGCTGAAGTATAGTGTTTTTAATACTTTGGGGAAGATTCAAAGAAGGGGATTAGCTGAATCAAATACAATGTCCATTCCTAGACTTTTGAGGAATATACATAATTGATTTTCACAGTGCTTATACCAGTTTACACTGCCACCAACATTGAAGAACTCCCAAACCCCGCCAATATTTATATTGTTTGACTTCGTGACAGAAGCCATTCTTTATGGGATGAGATTGAACCTCAGTGTTGTTTTAACTGGGGTCTTTTGAGTAACTGATGGTGTTGAATACTTTTTCATATATTTATTGGACATTTGTACTAGTTTATCTGAGGAGTATGTATTCATCTTAGATAGGGACTGTAAATTTGGGGGATCTGTTTTTTTCAGTTCTTTATGTGTTATAGATATCTGAAGCCATTTCTTTTGTTAGAAATATTTATCTTTTAATTATGTTTTGGAGAAAGATCCATCTTATTTCATCCACTGGCTCAGAGTTTTAAAAAGTTCATTTTCTTCTTTGTTTTAAGTATTAGTATTAACAGCAAGGATTTACTTTTGTCATCTATTTAATTTCCCTTCATTCCTGCAGCCTGTTTTTTGTGATTGTCATATTCAGATTTTAAATAATTGTCACTCCCTGACGTATTCATTTGTTCCAGTATAAACACTACTAATATCGAAAGGAACTTTAATATAATTTATATCAGAAGACTTCATTGCAAAATGTTGTTAAGCACAATGCAGTATTTTTTCAGATACAGCCATTTACATATTTCTCTGAGTTACAAAGTTCTCCAGTTCTTAAGTTTTTGTAGTTAACATTGAGGCATTAGTATTAGCATTTTCCTTACTACTTGAGGTTCAATTTTCCTTAGAAATCAATAATTCTCACAATTTTACAAACGAAATTTCTAATTATGCCAAAAGAACTAAGAACTAATATTTTTCTAAATATTGTAGATACACCTTGAGCTGTAATCTTGCACAATTTACTTTTAGCAATATGCTGATTTCCTCAAGCTTTGATATTTACTCATACCTTTTTTGATTGTAGAAATCAAAATATACATATAACAATATATATTTCTCATCTTAAAATTATGTCAATTTTGTCTTTTAATTTTTCTCAGTGTTTATATATTAATACTACAAGCTAATTTGAAACAACTGATTTTACCATAGTGTATTTATGTGCTATGTTCAGGAGCTGTGTACATCCCTGAGCATCTCCAAATGACCGAATTCCTAAACAGTTTGAAGGATGGAGTTGCTTTATGAGGAAATTGGTGCAGACTTCAATGACTTGCGGCAGCTGCAGAAGACAAGCTGCAGCCAGTAAACTTTCAATAGTATCTTCTTTCAGTTGCAGGGCACCTAAATGGTTTTAAAAATTAAAGAATGGTTATATATCTCAAAAGTAACACACAACTATGTTAATTAATTCAAATGTCCCATTCACATCATGAAGTAAGTCTATGAGTTTTAGTGTACAGCAGCTAGTAAAACATATTTTGAGGATGACATATACAAGGGAGTCTGTACAGAAACACCATTAAAAAGGCTGAAGTACAAAGAAGATCATCACAAAAAAGTCTTGCAAATGAAGAGTGAGTACTATCAGTACAAGACATAATAACTTGTTATTTCTTATTATTTTATGAAAAAATAAAAATTTTGAAAGAAGTAATGAGAGTAATGATAGTTATTATGTGTATCATACTTGTAAATTTATTTACTCAGAGTACAAGACAAATAAAAAAGATTATCTCTTATAAAAAGACATAACTCCTTAAGTCTGTTTTTGAATGTTTCATCAATAATTTTACTTTAGGTGCAATAGCAAAATATAGAGAAGGTTTAAATTTAAAACACACTGCATTTAATCTTCCTCAAAATACTCTCCATTGCTTTGAACATAAATTCCATGGTTCTTGACACTATCTGAAGCAGTTCTGCAAATCACTTTTATAACTTTGTATGGTGCTGACTGTCTCAATGTCTTCAGTTAATTTTAAAGGATTCCCTTTCTTTTTTTTTTTTATTTAAGAGGAAAAAGAGAAAAACACAAAACAAAACAAAGCAGTGTAAGGTTACACATAACACAGAACTACAAAAAAAAAAAAAAAACATAACAGTAAGAAATCACCTGTTAATAGATTACATATTATCATCTTGGAAATAGTTGCTCAAATCACAGTATCAAAGAATACAAAGTAGACATTCAAACAGAGAGACTGCAAACAGCTGTGTTCAATGATCCAAAAACATTAATATAGTCAGCTATTTAACACACCTAAACACACTTGCTGTTATATCCGTTAGAGCTCTTTTTTTTTTCCTCCCTCTCTTTTTTACAACAAAATTTACACATTTTGGATTTTATTACTCCTTAGTTCTTATTACTTTTTTTGGGGGGGGGGGAGAATAAAGTCAAATATGGCAAAACAAAGCTGTAAGTCAAAACCAAGGATAGACATAGCACATGATGTAGAACAGAGTACAAGGTTATTAACAATGGTTATCAACATTGTCTCTTGTTTCCTTAAAAGGAATTGTCTATATCATTAGATATTATAAAGTTGGACAAAACAGTGGAGAACAAGACCAATAAAACTTAGGCATTGTGAACATTACAGGACTTCCAAAGGAGACAATAGCCAAACCAGAATGGGCATCTTTGTGAATCTTATTGCCTTCAAATTAGTTGCCTAAACCCTCAGACTTGCTACTATCGCACAGAATGGAACAGAGTCTAATCAGTCAAAACAAGATCTTGGGAGTATTACAGGACTTCAAAACAAGTTAATAGGAGATCGAAAAGAGTTGCTATTATATATCCTAATTTTTTAAATTTTTCCCTTAATTAAAATAAACATAAGAAATAGCTAAATAATTTTTTTAAAGAATAGTAGTTACCATAGTGTCTGTCTTTTTCCTTAAAATATTTGGATAAAACTTCATATACTATAGCTTCAAATATTTCCATATCAAAAAGCCAAGAATAAAGCATTTCTAATTAATAAGTGAAAATTTTATAAGGCTTCAAGGCCACATAATGGGGAATCATGATTATCACATATTTTTATATATTTGAATCATTACTTACATTAGGGAAACTACTCGGTATTCATACATGCGAGATTGATTTATTTCACTTATGAGTATGGTCTCAAGCTGCGCCCATTTATTGATAAATATCTCAATGCGATCCTTCTTTATAGCTGAATAATACTCCATTGTATAGAAATACCACAGCTTTTTTATCCATTCCTCAGTTGATGGACACTTGGGTTGTTTCCAAGATCTGGCGATTACAAATTGTGCTGCTATAAACATAGGTGCACATATATCTCTGTGGTATGATGCTTTCAGTTCTTCTGGGAATATGCCTAGAAGTGGAATAGCTGGAATAAATGGGATTTCCAATCCCAACTTTTTGAGAAACCTCCAGACAGACCTCCACAAAGGCTGTACCAGTCTACACTCCCACCAACAGTGCAGGAGAGTTCCTTTTTTCCCACAGCCTCTCCAGCATTTGTTGTTGTTGGTTTTCTTGATCCTGGCCATTCTTTCAGGAGTGAGATGGTATCTCAGTGTGGTTTTAATTTGCATTTCTCTAATGACCAATGATGATGAGCATTTTTTCATGTATTTATTTGCCATTTGCATTTCTTCATCTGAGAATTGTGTATTCATCTCAGATGCCCATTTTTGGATTGGATCTTTGAATTTTGGAGGTCTAAGTTTTTTTAATTCTTTATATGTTTTAGACAAGAGTCCCTTGTCTGAGAGAGAGTTCACTAAAATCTTTTCCCAGTTTGTGGGTTTTCTTTTCACTATGCTGGAGATTTCTTTTGACATGCAAAAACTTTTTAATAAGAAGTGGTCCCAGTTATTGATTCTGGGAAGTATTTCCCGTGCAGTTTGAGTCCTATTCATGAATTCTCTACCTACTCCTATGTCTCCAAGGTTTCTACCCAATTTGTCTTCCAATAGATTTAGCGTTTCTATTTTAATATTCAGATCTTTGACCCATTTAGATTTTAATTTAGTACATGGTGATAGACATGGGTCTAGCTTTAGTTTTCGGCAAATGGAGAGCCAGTTTTTCCAGCACCATTTATTAAAGAGACTGTCGTTCTTCCAGTGAACCTGCTTGGCTCCTTTATCAAAGATAAGGTGGTTGAGTGTGTTTGTAGGTGTGGTCGTATCTTCTAATCTATTCCATTGATCTTCAGCTCTGTTTTGATTCCAATACCATGTTGATTTTACTACTGTTGCTTTGTAGTATAATTTCAAGTCAGGGATTGTGATGCCTCCTGCTTTGTCTTTGCTGCTTAGAATTGCTTTTGCAATTCTAGGTCTCTTCTGGTTCCAGATGAAATTTAGGAGTGATTTCTCTAGATCTATAAGGTATGTTGATGGTATTTCTATTGGGATTGCATTGAATCTGTATAAGAGTTTTGGGAGAATGGCCATCTTCACAATGTTTGTTCTTCCTATCCATGAGCAAGGGATGTCTTTCCATTTTCTGAGATCATCTTCAATTTCCTTTTTCAGTGTATTATAGTTTTCACTGTATAAGTCTTTCACTTCTTTCGTAAGAGTAATTCCTAAATATTTCATTTTTTTGCTTGCTAATGTGAATAGTCCAGTTTCCCTTATTTCCCTCTCTGTGGTTTTGTTGTTTGTGTATAGGAATGCTATTGATTTCTGAGTATTGATTTTGTATCCAGCCACATTACTGAATTTATTTATTGTATCTAAGAGTCTTTCAATGTAGCTTAGGGGGTCTTCTATGTAGAGTATCATGTCATCTGCAAACAATGACAACTTAACTTCTTCTTTTCCTATCTTTACTCCTTTTATTTCTCTTTCTTGCCTAATTGCTCTGGCTAGTACTTCCAGTACTATATTAAATAGGAGTGGTGATAAAGGACATCCTTGTCTTGTGCCTGATTTTAAAGTAAAGGCTTTCAATTTTTGGCCATTTAGTATGATGCTGGCTGTTGGTTTGTCATAAATGGCCTTTATTATATTGAGGTAAAGACCATCTATTCCAATTTTCTGTAGAGTTTTTATCATGAATAAATGTTGGACCTTATCGAAGGCTTTTTCTGCATCTATAGAAATGATCATGTGATTCTTATTTTTGGCTTTATTGATATGGTGGATTACATTTATTGATTTGCGTATGTTGAACCATCCTTGCATTCCTGGGATGAATCCCACTTGGTCATGGTGTATAATCTTCTTGATGATTTGCTGGACCCTATTTGCCAATATTTTATTGAGGATTTTTGCATCTGTGTTCATTAGGGAGATCGGTCTATAGTTCTCTTTTTTAATTGGGTCTTTCTCAGGTTTTGGTACTAGAGTGATATTTGCTTCCAGGAATGACTTAGGAAGGATTGCTTCCCTTTCAATTTCATTGAATAGTTTGAGGAGTGTCGGCATTAGGTCTTCTTTGTATTTCTTGTAGAATTCTGCAGTGAATCCATCTGGGCCTGGGCTCTTCTTGGTGGGTAAGGACTTAATTACATTTTCAATTTCAGTAACCGAGATTGGGTTATTCAACAATTTTACATCCTCTTGATCTAGCTTTGGCACTTCATATGCTTCTAAGAATCTGTCTATTTCTTCTGTGTTATCAAACTTTTGAGAGTAGAGGTTTTCGAAATAGGTGTTGATGATCTTCTGTATTTCTATTGGGTCTGTAGTGACTTCTCTTTTTTCATTTCTTATTGCATGAATTTGAGCTTTTTCTTCCCTTTTTTTAATAAGGTTGGCTAGGGGCTTATCGATTTTATTTATTCTTTCAAAGAACCAAGTCTTTGATTTGTTGATCCTTTGGATTGTTTTCTTAGTCTCTATTGCATTGATTTCTGCTCTGATTTTTATAATTTCCTCTCTTCTTTTGGCTTTGGGCTTGACTTGCTCTTCTTTTTCTAGCTGTTTGAGGTGTAGCATCAAGTTATTTATTTGTATTCGTTCTGTTTTCCTGATGTGGGAACTCAGTGCAATAAATTTTCCTCTCAGGACGGCTTTCATTGCATCCCACAGATTCCGGTAAGTTGTATCTGCATTTTCATTTTCTTTTAGGTATTGTTTGATTTCTTCTTTAATTTCTTCTGTGACCCACTGATTACTCAAGAGTGTGTTATTCAGTTTCCATGTGTTTGTGGGATTTTTGCAGTATCTTTTATCGTTAATTTCTAATTTCAGAGCGCTGTGATCCGATAACATGCAAGGGAAGGATTCCCTTTCATAGGCAGTTTAACTTTGAAAAACTGCCAGGAATTTCAGTGTGTCAGATCTAGAAATATGGTTTACGCAGACATGTCATAATGCTTTTCTGAGCCTATCTTTCCATTGGATGTCACTTAGCAATGCTGCTACTTTTGATCACACTTCCTAAAGACACTCAAAAGATGTTTCAGAAAACGGCAACAATGATGGGATAGCTGTATTCAAAGTGAGGGGGACTATTTCCTGGCAATCTTCCGAGCTCCAGAGTTGGAAGATTTGTGTAATGTAACAGAGGAGGTAGTAGTGGAGGTAGTAGTGGCAGTAGCTGCAACATAGCTCATTTTTCCCATGATGTGTCCTCCTGAGGGAGAAAAGCTTAAGACACCTATGCCCAGAGCACCAAAGGCTCTGTGGAACAAGGAAGTGGTCCATCTCCTTACACTGACAACCAGCATTATGCTCTCATAAATACCCCAGATTCTTGAATCAGCAGGAGTCACCTGGGGTGGACCTTGGGCAAGGGATTACATCCTAGGAGTGCTGGGACATTTCAAAGCAAGCCATGGTTGGTGGGGCCTTTGCCCATCCCTCCACCATAAGCACTAAACCAGTCCTCTCTCAATCACTAAAAAGTGCTAATGTAGTAAAGTGTGTTGACTCTAATCCACATCTTCATAGGAGAGCTGCAGCAAACCTCAGTGATGCCCAAACATCTACAGATGTAACTATATGTAATAAACTTTCAAGAGAGGGGCTATGCCACTGAGAATTTCTTGGCAATGTATTAAAGAAACTGCTGCCGTGTGCTTTTAAATGATTTTTCAGTAAAGACCTGTTCTTTCTCATAAAAAGTCTTTTATTGCAATTTTTGTTTCATAATTTAAGCACTCATAAATTTTGATCATCTCTTATATATACATACAAAAAACCACCTTAAATAAATAAAATTTTCAACATTAGTCACACCTAAAGAAATCTGAAAAACATGTTTGCCTTGTTACTTAAGAAACAATATACTATGTAAGATCGTAAAATTGGCCATATACATATATAACTGTCATTTGTGCGGCACTAAAGATACAGGTAAGTAAGCATAATATTGGGCTTTTTGAGTCCATACTTTTGTACATACACACATCACCTGATAATTATGCCATTCCCAAATACTGTGTGTGGAATAGCTGCCCGGCACTATCTCAAAAGGAAGAGAATGTTGAAAAGAGGTCACAAGTGAAAAAGTGTTATACAACTTTTGCTTCAGTAGAGAAACAAAATTAAAAGCAGAAATTACATTTGACCAGCTATACTTCCCCTAGATATAATTCACAAAGAGTCAAAGGCATCATACTACAGTGATACATACATACTCGTGTTTACAGCAGCACGATTTACAACACAGTCTCTGGATACTCATCAACAAACATCAATTAGAAAATGTGATTTCTGTCAAAACTTGTATATACATTTCAGGAAAAGAAAAATAATATATTTTTTTCCATAGATGATGCTACCTTCCTATGAGGACCCTTAAAGAATGTCACATATGGAAGCAATCCCACCACACTGTCAGCTCTTAGGAAATTTAAAATATATGTGCAGCAATCTCAATAACCAAAGTTTCCCAAGCTGCAGTTCATTGTACTAACAAATCTCTGGAAGTTAATGGTCACCACTTTGAGCACCCCCTGTAATTGTAGAGGCCAAAGTAATTTGTATTAATCACATGATGTCTCAATAAATTAAACATTAAAATATTTATGAAAGTTTTTGGTTTCCTGAAATATGTATACATTTTTTGCAGACTGACTATACACATGAATATTATTCACTCATAAAGAAGAATAAAATAATACCATTTGCAGGAAAATGGATGGAACTTGAGTTCACAATATTAAGTCAAATATAAAAAGTTAAACATCATATAGTTTATAATACATGAGCAAACTAAAATATCAACAAAAGAGAAAAATAATGGAAAGTTTGTAGGGAATGAAAGGAAGATTTTTGGAGATGCAAAGAGGATCCAGGTGAAGAGTATGGAAGGAATTTTTAGGGATTGAAAACGATAAAGCTATTACATATGAGTTGTTCCTATAGTGTTGCATAGCAACCTTTAAGAAAATAGCAATATGGGCTGGGGATTTAGCTCAGCGGCATAAGCACCTTCCTTGCAAGCAGGCAGTTGTGAGTTCGATCCCCGGTACCAATAAAAAGGAAAAAGACAAAAAAAAAAAAATAGCAATATATATTCAAACATGCTGTGTGTACTTAGATCAATTTGTAGAATATATGATGCAAACATCATCATATTTTGTCAATCTACACATTTTCTTGCATTGTTCCTTACTCTGTATTTTGAAAGGAGAGAAATGCCAATGTCTTGTGAAAGTAAGAGAAGTACAATCTATTTGCTGACATTCACTCCCAGTTTTACCTGTGCTCTTGTAATCACTAACCACTTTCCATTCTTATGACTTCTTTAATTTTGGATGCTTGATATAAATGGAAAAAGATATTTTCTTAGATATGCCTCTTTCACTTGAAATGAGGTCTATGCAACATTATTTCATTCTTTATTACATATTAATAACTCATGGTATGCACATATAAAACATACTGATTTATCAATTTATAAATGTTTTGGATTATACTGTCTAATTATGATGAACACTGCTGATATAAACATATGTGAATACATTTTTTCACAGTCATGTTTTCAGTTCTCTTGAGTATATACTGAGGCGTTGAAATGATTGAGTTATAAAGGAAATATGTTTAATTTAAGGAACTCTCATATGCACATAATGTTAAATGGATAGTGTTTGGAATCATAGTTATAGTGCTTACATTTACTTAGATATATTTTAAGTGCAAATAAATTCAGAATTTTAAAAGTTATAAATGTTTACATTGAATTAGGTATTTTAAAATTTACAATTATATAAAAGTAGAGAAAACTTGTCACTAAGGGAAAGGTGTAAGGAGAGCACACAAGTTTTCAAGGATCTTTTAGAGACAATGCAAGAAAAGTGTTTATAAACAATCCTGGAAAAAGTCAGGAAATCATATTTTAGTTCTTAGAAGAAGATATGTTAAATAAATTAAATAAATGTTTTTAAATATGAAAGATCTATTCTCTTTCTAGGAATCTTCCAAAAATAGTTATTGATATCATATTACAAGAGTACAGGCAATTCCATATTTACATAATTCATAATAGCTAAATTTAAAACTTGTGTAATTTCCATCAACAGATAAATGAATAAAAATTTCTAGTGTTTAAAATTGAAGATATAGCTCAGCAGGATAAGCACCTGAATGACAAACACAAGCTCCTGAGTTCTATTCTTAGTACTAAAAAAGAATTCTAGCATTTATGCAAAGTGGGATACAGATTTGAGGCATTTTAGGGAAATGGTTACACTTGAAGACCGTAATGATAAGGGAGATAAAACACACAGAAGCTGAAATATTTAATGCTTTCTTTTATATGAAAAACTCAAAGTATAAACAAAGAGCAAACTAAAAGATAGGTAAGAAGCAAGGCGATAGATCTCTTGCAAAAGGTACAGAGAAAAAGAGATGAGAGTGAGAGTGTTGGAAGGAGAGGAAAAGGCAACATTAAAAGAATTAAGATGTGCAATGTAGCAAATTTTCACAATACATTCATTACTAATTGCATCCATTACTAATTACAAAACTGTATACATAAAAATTTAAATTATAAATACTGAGAGACTTTAAATAGACTTTAAATGAAATAATTATTTTAGAAAAATTAAGATATATTGGTATCCAAAATTATTCTTTTTCCTTTTGTTTTATAGTTTGAGTTTGTATGAATTTGCTATCCTAAAGAAAAAGATTGAATCTGTACTGGGAAATTAGAAAATTCCACTTTCACTCTGTTTTAAAACAAGAATATGGCCACATTAATCAAGATTGATACTTTCTTGTATTTTTTCAAGTTCTTGCATTTTCATGTTAAAATAGCTCTCTGAAATTATGGAAAAAATATTTATAACCTAATAGTAGTAGTAATAGTAATAGTAGTAGTAGTAGTAGTTGTATTTTTTGAGACAGTGCCTCACTGAGCAGTTCAATTTGGTCATGAGCTCACTTTGAAGCCATGCTGGTCTCGAACTTTCAACGGTCCTCTTGCCTCGCTCTCCTGAGTTCTGGGATTACAGGCATATACCACCATGCCAGGCTATTACATTATATTATTTAGAGCTTGTTCTTTTTTATGTTGATTTGGAATCATTGCTCTGCTCTCATACAACCTTAGGTTACTTACTAATTTTTCATTTGCCTCACTTGTGGGCTGGAAATAATAATGTATGTCTTATAATGTAGTATCTTTATGATTTAACACATATCCAGTACATACCTGTGTAAGCATACTGGACCAAAGAATTAAGTGCATCTGGGTCTACCCCTTCCATCTTGACCTCTTCTTGGTTGGATTCAACCACGTCATTAGTAAACATTGCAGCAAAGTAATCAGACACTGCACTAAGAACCAACCTAGAAAAAGAAATGATTTGTGAATAAATGCGTAGATTGTTAATGTCACTGAAAGCATAAAATGCAGTCATTAAGTTAGTGGTACTGCTCAGTCTGTTTTCTGCTTAAATTTTCCACAATTCAGTAAAGTATAGTAAATTTAGAAAGGTCGAATAAATAAATTGATTTTTTTGGAGAGTTAGCATTGTTTTGCCAATTTCTGAAATATTTAGCTGTTTCAAATATGGTACAGAGAAATAAATAATATGCATTAATGTTTTTTGGTAATCCAATTTATGGTCTGTATACTTATTTTTCTTCATTCATACTTTCTCTACCTTGCACATATTCTATCTGTTTAATGATACTGACCGGTGAGCTGGAATTTGAAGATGTCCAGCAATAAGCAAAACATCACACAGTTGTTTCTCTTTCAAGTAGTTCTCCATTTTGTGTAGAGTTTGCTTTGCATGGTTTACAGCATGGAAATACTCCTCAGACCTGGGATGATTCATTTCATCAGGATGTTGTGTGTATAATCTGAAAGGAAATTAAGAATGTGAATATGGTTTGTCACGTCATTTTACAAACACTGTGGTTATTTCTAGCGTGTATGTACACATCTAGTGGAAATTTATGAAAACCAACTTCGAAAAGCAACACAGTTGATTAAGTTAAACTAATACTTCCTCTCTGATCTGAAATATTTGATGCTGATTGCTGTCTAATCTTCCAGTAAAGTGAAGTCATGGTTAGTATTTATATTACAAAAAATTATAACAATTTATGTTTCACCCCAGTAAAAATTACTATGTATGCAAGCATAGAATTTAAAATACCATGCCCTTTTTTGATTCTTAAGTTTATCACAATTAGGTCTTTATGCATGAAATCCTCAGTCCTGCTTCAAAATAACTCTAAACTTTGATTGTTTCTCAAATATCTCCATGAGGAACTCACTACATATCAAAAATATTTCGTGAATAATCACTAACCTGAGAGTCCTGTAATTTTATGTACAATATGTCAAACTGAAGGAGAAACCACATATTTCCATTTTTATTTTTTTACTTTTCAGGAAAATTTGGTGACTGCTATATTTACAGTAATGAAAGTTGCCTAAATACATTTTCAATATAGTACATGGTGGGACTTTAATACCACACAAACTCAGATACGCTAATAATCTTTAGAACTTCAAAATTTGATATCTGCACGAATATATACAAATACACAGTGTGCCATCTTCTTTGCTTCCTGTCATCATTTTCCAATCAGAACTATGATTTAATTTAAGCCTGTCATAGATCTGGCCAACAGTGATCAGCCCCCTCCACACCATTATAAAAGCCTAAACATAGGTACAAAACATCCCTTGGCAGGTTACAAGAGCTTAACCATAAGAACAAGGAAATAACTCCTGTAACCGAGAGCCTTGTCAACCTCCTCCAGAGAAAGATGTGCTATAAAGGAAGTGTAAAAACCACCCATAGCTCTCAGCCTATGACCTAAAAAACACCTAACCCCCACCTTAACTGTGAATAAAAACCCTGCTCAGCCCCACTGACACACCTTGCGCTTCTGCTTCCTTTGATTAAAAGTCGTTGTGTAAACCTCGCAGTGTGTGTTCTGATTTCTTGGCTTGTGGTTTGGCCACTCTATCATCTGGTGACAAAAGCCGGGAAAGTGCCTGGGGGATAAGCCAACCCCACCCAACCAGGGACCATTATGGTCCTGCCTCATTCACTTCCCACTGCCACCTGCAGTGGAAGCAGACCTCCAGCCATTCACAGTTGGCTGGGGCTCCAAACTCCGAAGGAAGATTTGTGAATTCATGCTCTTCCCTTCTCTTGCCTTCCCCCCATGTCCCCTGACTGCCTCTTCAACTTTCATCCACTTTGTGTTTGTTTGTTTGGAAGCTCTCCATCTATTCTTCACTGCTCCTAGGTTCCCTTTTTGGTGACTGTCTTTAGAATTCTTCCAAGGAACTTTCTAACTTTTCAACCCCTTCACCTTCTCCCTCTATTCTTCTCACCTATGTCTCATTATTTTCCCTTCCCCAAAACCTTTTACTCTCCTTAGAACTTGACTAATGTCCCACCTCCCCCAAACACCAAAGGTGTTTTGCTGTCCTCAAGGCGGTATCCCCTCACTAGTATCAGAAAGTCCTATCCATAGGCCAGGCCACTTTCCCATTACTACCCCCACCAGACCAGAGACATCTGCTTGGTTGGCTTTTTGTCACATCACCTTTTTGGCACATTAGGACTGGCCTCTCAATTGGAGATGTCTGCTCCACTGGCTTGGTTCCTCCCCCCAATTCTTTATTTAAAGAAAAACAAGACAAAACAAAACAGTAAAAGGGTACAAGTAAAACAGAATTTAAAAAAAAAACAGTAAGAAATCACTAGTTAACAGATTACATATTGTCATCTTAGAAATAGTTGATTAAGTTACAAAATTAAGCATACAAAGTGGACATTCAAACAGTGAGATTGCAAACAATTGTGTTCAATTATCCAACAAAAACTTAGTAATATGGTTATCTATCTTACACACCTAAATACACTTGCAGTTGTATCCTTTAGAGCACTTTATTTTCCTCTCTTCTTTACAATAACATTTACACATTTTGGGTTTTATTACTCCCACAGTTCTTATTACTTTTTTTGGGAAGAGAATAAAATCAAATGTGACAAAACAAAGCAGTCAGTCAAAGCAAAGTATGGACATAGTATATGATGTAAAAACAGAAAACAAGGTAATCAACAATGGTTACCATAATGCCTCTTGCTACCTTAAAAAGAATTGCCTAAAACATCAGGTATAATAAAATTGAACAAAACAGTACAGAACAAAACCAATAAAACCTAAACATTGGAGACATTACTGCACTTCAAAAGAAGATAATAGTAAAACCAGAATGGGCATCATAGTGAATCTTATTGCCTTCAAAGTAGTTGCCTAAACCCTCAAAATTGATACTATCAAACAGAACAGAACAGAATAAAAGCAGTGAAAACGAGACGGTGAGAGCAATTCAGGGCTTCAAATCAGGTTATTAGGAAATCAAAATGTTACTATAATATATGCTACTATTTTTTTAAAATTTTTGCTTTAATTAAAAAATAATAAAAAAAAATTTTTAAAAGGGGAGAGATTGAGATAAAAGATGAATTAACAACATAACAATACAGGTCAGAACAGAACAATTTAAACAACATAGTATTTCACCACAAGATAACCTGACATAATAGTAGTTAACATAGTGTCTCTTTCCTTGAAATATTTGAGTATAACTTTGTATACTATAGCATCAAAAATATCAAGACAGTGTGAAACCATTCAAGAGAATAAAAGTATTACAAAGTATTTTGAACCAGCTAACAAAAAACAAATGATGGTTTCTATATTATCAATTTGCCTATAAAAATGTTGTTTATACTATCACATATAATAAAATCCAACAAGATACAACATGGTAAAAGCAATGAAGACAGAAGAACAACAGCTTGATGGGACTTCAAAATAAGATGATATTAAATCAGCACTAGCTTATGATGTCTTGTTTTCTTCAAAATAGCTGTTCATATCATCACAGACAATAATATAAAACATCCCAGAATAAAAACATTCCCAACTAATGAGTGAAAACTTTATAAGGCTTCAAAGCCATATAATAGGGAATCATGATTACCACATACTTTTATGTATTTGTATCATTTCTTACACTAGGGAAACTATTTGGTGTTCATACATGTGAGTTTGATTTATTTCACTTATGAGTATGGTCTCATGCTGCACCCATTTATTTATAAATATCTCAACGTGTCCCTTTTTATAGCTGCATAGTACTCCACTGTATAAAAATACCACACCTTTTTTATCCATTCCTCTGTTGAGCTTTTTCAGCATCCTGGAAGGAATTCTCCTTGTCCTTGTTTTCTCTGGTCTCATACTCCTGCTAGTGGCTCTTATGGGGAACTCTCTCCTTGATCTAGCTGTAACACCTCTGTAGTTCAATGCCTGGCTAGAGTTCTCCCTAAACTTCTGGGATTCACTCAAACCCAAATGTCTCACCTCCCTCTGAAACAACAGATCAACTTGGCCTCCCCAAAAAGTACACTTGACTTTAATATCCTCTAGGATCTACACATTTGTCAATGCAATGGAAAATGGTCCAAAGTGCCCTATGCCCAAGCTTTCTTTGCTCTTTGCAACTGACCTCCTTCCTTCTATGTCATTCTTCTCAAACCCACCTGAGTCTCCAAACTGCTCAAACCCTTTAGTATCCTTTCTTCTCCTTGCCCCTGTACCCATAGGCTTCCCTTGTTCTCTACTGTGCCCATTTTCTCTTCTATGTTCATGTGCTTTTATTCCATTCTGATCTATGTGAGGTGGGATCATAATCAATATAGGAATCCAAGCTGTCAAACTGAAGAATTTTTGGATATTGTTAGCTGAGTTCAATGACAACTCGCATAGATTCCTGTATCAGAATCAAACCAAATGGCCCCAAACTAGAGGGTCACAGTGTTTTTAAAGCAAAAAATTGCAAAGCAAGGCGTCCTGTTGGAAATAATTTAGTTAGAATCTTACATTAATTTTGGTTGACACCTTTATCCTGCTTCTTTGTTGAGCAGGTTAATTTATCTCTTGTGGGTGAAGCCTGTTCTGCTTTTCTCATGAGACTTGTACCCCGAATAATTTTTTACTCTTTAGGTCAAATGCAAGGCACAAGATGGCATCAGCTATGCCAAGCTGTATGATTATTCTCACTTTCACTTTTTCCCCTCAACAAAACAAATTTTCATTTTATTTTCCAAACAACACCAGACATTCACATTACATTCAAAAAGTCAGACACTGGGCCCCAGTTTAGGAGAACTTTCTTTGTCGCCTGGAGTCCAGCATGCAGTTTCCTGCCAGACCAGCGAGTGGGCCCTAGGCAAGGAATCCTGCCTTAGGAATCCCACCGTGGTCTGGGGGAACTCTCTTTGTTGCCTGGGGATCTGCCTGCGGTTTCCTGCTGAGCCCAGGCAGTGGGGCTAAGGCATGGAATCCCTTCCCTGTCTCAGGGAACACTCTTCTTTGCCTGAGGGACCAGGCCTTGGTTTCCTGTGGGCCCAGCCTGTCAGGCCTAGACACGGTCTGGGGGAACTCTCTCCCTCACTTGGGACAACACTTGAAGCTCGAAAATACAGGAAAATGACAAAAAGAGAGACCAAAATGCCCATCCCATCCCAAGAAAGCCTAGGAACCACATGAATAGAAGAAAACACATTCCACATACCTGAAATACCTGAAATAATAGTAACTGAAATAAAGAAGCAACTCTGGGAAACCTTAAAGGAATTCAAAATAGAAATAATCTCTCAGGTAAAAGAAGAAATGATAAAAGAAATGAAGTAGATGCTGAACACATCTAAAGAAGACACAGTTTAAAAACTGGAGGACTTTAACAAAAAGAATCCCTGGATGAACAATATAAGAAACAAACAGAATACATAAAGCAGATGCAAAGAGATATACAAGAAATC